AAAAAAAAAAAAAAAAAAAAGAATGAGAAATCAATTTTTGGTTTTAAAAAAAGATTATGAATAATTGATTTGAGATTACAATTTTATTCTAAATGTAGTTGTAATATTTTATATTCATATAATCTGGTAGACTTCGAGACTTCTTCCCTCTCTGACGGAAAACTTCAGTTTGTTTGACAAGAAAGAAAGAAGAAATTATTTTGCAGAAGCAGCTTTGATTATGATTCTGTAACAGTGTTATATAATTTATTTTGACGAGAAAATTGTACAACAAATTGGTGAAAACACTTGAGAGTAAAAAAGAAAGCTTAAGAATTTACGTCTTTTCAATCTGTAATTTATGCTTAGAACAGAAAGAGATTTGAAAATATGAAAATTTAATAGAATACTAAATAATACAGAAATGTTACTAATCAAACTTTTTAAATCGATGCTTTGAAGGAAAGCCGTTACGTTGCGCAGTCTCAGCTGTTGCTCAAAATGTTAGAACTGGAGTAGACTTGAGAAACAATAGAAAATCCATTATTGGGGAGAAGCGCTAGAGCTTAAAAGAATTGCTAAATTTGTAAAAAATTTAAAATTTTAGCGACAGAAAGTAACAGCAACAGTTTAATAAGTATAAGAGAAGTTAAGGTTGATAAGAGTGATGATTTGTAATTGAACGAGAAAAAAAGACGTTTTTCTATTTTTAAAATACCAAAATTGTTCAGAATACTTTATAAGTAATAAACTTTGTTTCTAATAGACGAAGGATGACTAATAAACTATTTAATCTGATGTGTAAGCATCTTCTATCTCTGATATAAATTTGATAAACTGGATAACCCTGTAGTATAAACCAAAACAGTAAAACTGTATGGCAGTACAGCTGTATGCCATTTGGAAAACAATAATAACGTGAAAAAAATAGGTATTGGTATTCATCTCGGCAGTAGGCATCAAATCTTACTAAAAGATGTACTGAAATTAATTGTATGCACTAATTTCAGCAGTCATAACTTTAAAATGTATCACTAAAATATGGTAAAATTTTAACACCTTATAGGGCAAAAAATTTAACTTAAAGTATAGTTTTTTTGAAAAATTTTTTGTTTTACAGTTTATGCGGATAAGCATCTTTTTTTTTCGTACAAAACTTGATTTTTTCAAAAGATTATAAGCAGATAAATATAAGTAAATATAAGCCTTATAACAAAAATTCAATGTTGCTTTCTTATGTTTGTAAATAGCATCTCTATCTCTTGTAAATAGCATTTCTAGAAAAAAGTTCTAAACGTCAAAAAAATTTGCAAAATTTTTCTG